AAAAAAAAAAAAAAAAAAAAAAAAAACATTAGAATATATCCAAACTTTTATTTTTCTCCCATTGGAATTTAATTATTTTAGTCACAATTCCACTTTTATCTATTTTGGTCATTTAAAGGTTGGAAGGACGGAATTTGATTTACTGCAGTCACGTACTGTACAGTACATATATATATTGATACAAATATGCATTCCCTATTGTTTGTGATATTTACGTCAAACAGTATTTCAGCATTTTTACACAAAGTGTGAGGTACTTTTTAAATGGTGTCGTGTCACATATATTGCTAATCTTACTTGTGTTATAAATTGCATATAATTTTTTTTAATGTAAAACAACTATGATACAGTAATACTGTTAGATTTGCAAATCAAAAATATTTCAAATTCAATCTATGCATGCAGTAATCCTATCTGGATTAAACGAAATAAAAGTAAACAAAATTTGATGTTCTGACTCCGATACCCTTTATTATATGCGTATTTAAAATTGCCCTTCACTTCAAATAGTCTTTAGAAAATAAAGAAATGATAAGTAATCATAAATGTTCTAATTCGTTTAATGCAATGGCCCAGAACATATAAGAAATGTGGATCGCGTCGATGGACTTTGGCATACACTTCGCGGGATATTAGCAGTATATCACTTTGTGATCTGCCCTTTCATTAAAGAGGCCACATCGGGGGTGGTTTCACAATCCCTGCAAAAATTTGTCTCATTTAACGCTCACTTACGGTTCTCAATCTGTCCTAGAACATAACGTTTTCCCCTTTTGATGAAAAAAAAATTTAATATGTTCGAGGACACTCTGTAGGACTTCCCAAAAACATTTCTCGAACTGTTACATTCATTACAGCACAACATAATGTCATTAGAACTGTAAAAAATACCTCAAATGTTCTGATTGAGAACCATAAGTGCATGAGTTAACCCTCCCCCCTCCATCACCTAGGATCCGCCATTGACAGAGAAATCCCGGATGGCTAGCTGCGTAATATTTTGAACACCTTCGTATTAATCACAATCTAAACTTAGGTTAGAATTCACTGAAATCATCGCAGTGTGTGACGTACAGGTAAGTTTGCAAACAAACCGCAAACAAAAGGGTGCGCCGCGACCTGCGTTTACTCGGCGACGAGTCTTTTTCCAAAACAGTCTCTTCTAAATGTAAACCTCGTTGTGGCTTTGACCCAGAAGTAGGGTATTTTTCATTACGAGGCTACTATCGCACAATCTCAAAACGGACAAGACCGAAAAACTGGTGCAAGTGTGACTATTTGGGTTAAAAACTTATTATTTTTTGTCGCATCGCGACTGTAAAACCCAGATTTCTTTTCTTTAGTTTTGTTAGCAAGCATTCATTGAAAAATAAGACGATTTTAAAAGACCCAGAAGATTGCAACATGAAACTTTAATTTCACGGAAGTAGGATGTTAACTCGGATATGTTTACTGTAAAATTTTACGGCTGTTGCTCAATTTGTTTATTACCACCTTACATTAACGCCGTGTTTACAATTTGAATGCGTAATTCACGAATACAACAGACATAGATCAGATCAGTGGTTATAAAAGGTAGGTATTTCAGTTACTTGGTGTACAAAGCCTTAGATTTAGGGATGAAACTTAGAATGTTACTAATAATAATAATAATGTACATTTACAATCAGGCGATGAATACATTCATGAACAATAAATAAATTTATCAGCGCTTCTGTTCACGCCTAATACTCATTTTACATTTATTGAGTACATAATGATGATATGAAAAAAAAAAAAAGAAATGTTAAGGGGGTTATTTAGAATACTGGTATGAATCAAATTTGGTCTCAATACACGTACAGTATATGTACTGTACATGAACATTGTAACTCTGCACATTTTTGTTAATGGGGCAATCTTACATTCAGCTGCATGGTGCCATGTAATATTGATACGAAATGCATGAAAGTCAAGATTGTGCAAAATTGCTTCCTGTTTGAAATTCATGGTCCATAGAAAACTCCAGATTTTAATCTGGTTTGAAATTTAGGGGCCGTTTGAAATTCATGGCACATTACCGTATTTATATCTTTGTAGGTTCCTTACAACATGGCAGGTCATACTTCAGACAAGGTACTACCTCCTCCTTCTTATGAGCAAGTAACAGGGGGGCGCACCCAGTTTGGGCTACCTCCTCGGGTACCACTGACTTATGTTGACTTTTGGCCAGTGTGTACCACCCCAGAACAGAAACTGAAGAGAGCTGAATTTGAAACATTTGAGTAAGTTGTATTATGTTCAGAGCCCTAGTAGCAGCCAGATGAGGCCAGGCATACCAGTGATAGTTGCTGTGACTAGAAACTGAGATTAATGTCTTTTCTGAAGCATATTACTCTTCCACAGATAAACATTTAGAAAGAAATGGAGATTAAATTAATGCTTTTAATGGTTGTTGTATGACTTAGAATCAGTGTTTTTCGTGTGTTTTTGTTTGCTTAATTAGGTGAATTCAATAAGAGAGCTGATGTCACAAGTGAAGTCCCATGTACTCATTGTCACTTAAACCCAGTGGGACTCGGGTTGTTGAATATATTTATAGAACAATTTGATTTCTTTTTTTGTAATACTACATAACATGTCG